AGAGAGGGTTGGGGGCAGTGGGGCTGGCCAGGGCGGGGGGGAGCGAATCAGGGAGCGGGACTGACCCAGGCATGTGCCGATTCCAGGGTGCTGCCCATCCCGCATTCAGTCCTGGCGAAGCAAGTCTGGCTGTGGCTCCGCCACATGCTTGACCAGTGCTCAGGAGCAGGGACAGGGCTTCACCTCCTCAGGTGCAACCAGAGGCTCCCAGCGCTGATCGCAGGCTCCCTCTGCCCCCGCCAGGCTTCTGTCCAGCACCCTGCTGGAAAACCAGAAAATACCGGACATTGCACATGTCTGGTATTTTCTTTTTTTTTTTCTAACCAGACAGAGGGCCTGAATACTGAACACCTGGCAACCCTATTCTCCTTCCGCCCCCGGGAAGAGGAGGTGAGGGCTGGGGCCATAGGTAGTCCCAGCTCTCCATGTGGGCCCTGGGAAGGGCCAGGCTGGAGCTTGTTCCTGTGGACACAGTGACATGATGTCACTCTGTCGTCCCATAGGAAAAACCTTTTAAAATATATAGAGAGATTTCTTGTGTTCGCGTTCATTTCATTGACACTAGAATGGCAGTGTTTTTGCTGTTGACATTACTGCTTGGTTTTGGCTTCCCACTGCTGACTTTAAAAAAATTGCAAGCATATAAAGCTGGGTGGTGTTGTCCTGGAATACCTTTTTGTCTAGTAGAAACAAAAGACAGGACTATGTAGCACTTTAAAGACTAACAAGATTGTTTATTAGGCGATGAGCTTTCGTGGGCCAGACCCACTTCCTCAGATCAAATAGTGGAAGAAAATTGGCACGACCATATATACCAAAGGATACAATTAAAAAAAAAAAGTGAACACCTATAAAATTGACAGATCAAATTTTAGAACAGAGTGGGGGTGAGGTGGAAAGGTTAGTGTCTGTGAGGTAATGACATTAGAGGTGATAATTGGGGAAGCATCTTTGTAATGGGTGAGATAATTAGCATCTTTGTTGAGACCCATACATAGTGTCAAATTTAAGCATGAATGACAATTCTGAAGCTTCTCGTTGAAGTCTGGAGTCAAATCTCTCTGAAGCAATTTGCATGTTTTAAGGTTATTGAGAGAATGGTCATCTGGATGAAATGGCAAGCAACAGCTTTCTCTTTGTCTTATGTCTGTTTTGTGGGCATTGATTCTTTGGCGAAGTGTCTGAAGTTTGTCCAATGTACATACAGACGGACACTTTAGGCACATGATGGCATACATTATATTTCTGGATGAACAGGAATATGTGTTCTTGATCTTGTAATAGGCATGGTTAGGTCCAATAATGCAGGGTAAATATGTGGACAAAGCTGGCACAGGGGTTTGTTGCAAGGGAAAGTTCCAGGGTTGGTATTAGTGTGGTGTATCCTGTAGTTGTAGGTAAGAATTATCCTAAGGTTAAGTAGTTGTCTATAGGAGACTATGGGTTTGTCTCCCGGAGCCTCTTGGAGGGTAGTATCCTCTCGGAGGGTAGTATCCTGTTCCAGTATAGGTTGTAATTTGATAATACATTGGACGGGTTTAAGTTGGGGGCTATAGGTGTTCTGTTTTTCTTGGGTCTGTCTTGAAGTAGATGGTTTCTGGGTATCCATCTGGCTCTTTTAATTCATTTATTTATTTATTTCTCCGAGTGGGTAATTGAGGTTTATAAATGCTTGGTAGAGATCCTGCAGTTTCTAGTCTGTCAGTGGGATTAGAGCAGATGTGGCTGTATCTAAGGGCTTGGCTATAGACGATGGATCATATGGTGTGTCCTGGATGGGAGCTGGAGGCATGTAGGAAACTTAAAAAACAACAAATGGTCTGGTGGCACTTTAAAGACTAACAAAACATGTAGATGGTATCATGAGCTTTCTTGGGCACAGCCCACTGCTTCAGATAACCATCTACATGTTTTGTTAGTCTATAAAGTGCTATCAGACCATTTGTTGTTTAAGTTTATCCAGTACAGACAAACTCAGCTACTTCCTGAAGTTTTTTTGTCTAGTGTTTAATTTACATCCCTTAACCCATCCTTAATGTGTTTGAGGCTACAGTAGTTCCTGGTGAACAGGTACCCATCAATGCCACCATAGTTGGGTATCTTTAGTGCGACCTTTCCACTCTCCCCGACTGTGATGCACATTACTAATTTCAGGTCCAAACTGACTTGCAGTTTTCATGTTGTTTATTGCTTCACTTGGACATCTGGCTGAATCTTAATTGACTCCCCCTCTACCTTGTTTCCTCTTCCGCTATTGTTAGTTATGTCTTCTACATTACATCGTAGTGCAGAGTTGAGTGCTCTGGATAGAGGGGACCATTTTACAGGCCCATTCTATGGCTGACTGAGGGCTGTCGAAAGGGACCGCATCCTCTTGACATAAAACAGCTGCCAGTGTGGATTCATGTGGTGGACAAAACCAACCACTGCTTTATGCCTGGCTTAGCAGCACATCCTGCTGCAAGTTATCTATTGTGCATACACACCTCTTTCTTTATAGAGCATCATCTCAGACCATTCAGAGAACAGTTTGTGGCACATTTGCTTACACCTCCTTCTATTTAGGCTTGGTGTAGCAGGGTGCTGCAGGGCCTGCTTGAGTCCTGCCGGGAGGTACTGACAATCACTCAGACATTGGGGTTCTGGAACCACTTGTGCTGTTTATTTACAGAGCGTGCTCCCGTCACCTTTTCACCAGACACAGCTTGGGTGCCAGTGTCAGTGTCAGCACCCAGGAGGGACGTGCTATCACTCTGTCTCCCCTTTCCTATCTGGCTTCCTTTCTCCCAGCCTTTTATACAGCCCCAGGATAACTGAAAGAGAATCCTCTGAACTGTTATTCATGCTTAAATTCGACACTTTACACCTGAGTCTGAATAAAGAATCTAATTATCTTACCCATTACAAAGATAGCTTCCCCAATTATCACCTCTAATACCATTAGCTCACAGGAATTTACCTTCTTCCCCCAAAGACCTTTGATTTGTCCTTTTCATATGTGTTCATTTTTTAAATTGTATCCTTTGGTATATATGGTTGAGACAATTTTCTTCCACTATTTGATCTGAGGAAGTGGGTCTGGCCCACGAAAGCTCATCATCTAATAAACCATCTTGTTAGTCTTTAAAATGCTACATTGTCCTGCATTTTGTTCCAGGCTAATTAAACCATCAGGGATTGTTTTCCTCTAGCCAGCACCAGCTCATGTCCCTTAATGGGGGCTGCTGTGAGAGAGGGCTGAGTCAGCAACTCCTGCCCAGCACCCCAGAACACTTGGCAAAAGTCAGTTTCCATTTTTAATAAATTGACAATTATCCGCTTATTTGTAAAAACTTTTTACTAAAATTTTCAGTTACCTGAAGTTACAGGTTTTAAGCATTTTTTTTCTATTTTTATCAATATACATTTTCACATTTGTGGAAAATTGTGGGCAAGTGAGGGGGCCTAGGCAATAACTGTTAAATGAATGTGGATGTTCAGATTTTTAAAAAGCTTTTAATAAATATTTTAGAGTCTGTGTGTGAGTCCTTTTGTTTAGGGATGTGATGGAATAGTTGACTACCTGATAAGCAGGAGCTTATTGGGTAACTGCTCCATCCACCCCCTCGCCACTCTGCACTCTTAAAGGGACAGAGGAGCCCCTGTACAAAGACACTGGCTCATTCTCTGGTCCCCTGCGGGGTCTCAGGACAACCCTCACGCTGCTTCTCTGCATTTTTAAAAGGACGCAGCAGCAGCCTGTCTGCTTGTCTATCTCAGCACAAGCCAGATGTTGCTGCTGTGTCCTTTTTAAAAATGCAGGGTGGCAGTGTGAGGGTTGTCCTGAGACATGGCAGGAGACCAGAGAATGACCCAGCATCTTTGCACACTGGCTCCTCTCTGTCCTTTTAACACTGCAGAGTGGCAGCCGGGAGTTGTGCTCAGATGCAGCCTGAGCAGGAAGTGAGCGCTTAAAGTGTCCTTCCTTAACAACTAGTTGAGTAGTCGACTAGTAAATTAATCGATACTTAACATCCTTGGTTGTGCCAGGAAAACTGGAAGCCCTGGGACTGGTTTCCATAACATGCAAAGGGAGGGGCTGCTGTTCAGAGGGATGTGATACTGAGAGGTATGCGATACCCTTCCCAGCTAGCTTATAGTAGTAAAGGATGGAAGAAACTTGTATTAACGTGCACTTTAATTTATTTTTCAAGAACTTTCCAATTTTGCTGATGCTTTTAAGAAGGAGCTGAGTCTGTCTGATGGACCTCCCCTCGTCAAACCAGTTTATTCACACCAGGGGGCTGACAGTCTGGATGATATGCAAAAATATCTCTTTCCAGGTGCATCTTGTGGAAGCTTTATTCTGGTTTCTGTATTTTGATGTGTTTGAAGGGGTGTGGTTTGGGGGATGGGGTGGGTTGCTGAGGAGTGAGTCGCCCTGGTCACTTTACTTGCATGAGGCCAAGACAGGCAGAGTGTTTGTGAAGACTATTGGTGGGAAATTATGCACCAACTTTGACAGCTACTGATTTGAATGTGAAGTTGGGTTCTCTACACTCAAGATTCAGGAGCTCATATTACTTGGTGCCCGTGGCCATGTTCTAGCCCACCCAATTAGACCCCATTTGGAGGGTTGAGCACTGCTAGCCTAGCCATGCTTAGCACCCCTTTGCTTTCAGGGAGCCTAAACAGCCTAATGTCCTGGGGGTAGAGGAAAGAGCCACTTGATTTCAGCCTCACATGTTTATAGTGGGATAACTAATAGGATGGGGGCAGTGTTCCCAGTAAACTGTGTGTTTGTGTGGTTGCTCAATGCCACCCAGCTGACTAGCAGAATGCCTACAGCTAGGTTTTTGTTTGTACTGGCAGTACCCATCTGCACGTCTTGGTGCACAGAAAAAAATTATTCTGCACATGCATGGAAAAATCTGCACATGGATTGAAAAGATTAAGGGACATTGGTTTAGCAGGTTTAACTGGATAGGGGATCCAGAGCCTGAGGTTAGTTACAGCCCAGCACTTCTTTGGTATTGACTAAAAGTTGTTGCAAGCTGATGGCTGTTAGTGCTCTGTGACATGAGGTTGTGGAATCTTCAATACTGGAGCTATTTCAAAGCAAGTTAGATAGGCATGTTAGATAGGCATCTACACAAAGGAGCCATCTACACAGCTCTTTTTTGTGCAAAAACCTCTTGCGCAAAAGGGATCCAAGGAGGAAATGCAAATGCGAGCGCAACATATGCAAATGAGCACTCCATTTGCATTTCCTCTTGCGGAAAACCCTTGCAGTGTAGACGTAGCCTCAGATGATCTAGACCAGGGGTGGCCAGCCCATAGCTTGTAAGCCACATGCAGCTCTTCAAAGAGAAAATTGTGGTTCTTGCACCTGCGGTTCGTGGCTCTGAAAGGGGCAGCAAGTTTCTGCCTGCACGGGGATGCTGGGGCAGACTTAAAAATGGCTGCCCTTAAAAAGGCAATGCCTGCTCTGTTCTTAAAAGGGTTGCGGTCTGCCCCCCCCCCCTTTTTTTCCCCCTCTCTTGCTCAACTTTTTTCCCTTGGCTGTTTGTGCTGTATCCACCGCTATTTTGGCTCTTTGTCTGTAACAGGTTGGCCACCCCTGTTCTCGATGGTTCTTGGTCTTGCTGTGAGGGCAGGGGACTGGACTTGATGACCTCTCAAGATCTCTTCCAGTTGTGTTCTAGGATTCTATGAGTCACGAACGGGACTGAGACCTGATCAGCTGCTGTCCATATTATAATTGGTATCAAATGGCTCCCCAGTTGGTAATCTCAGCAGAGGGACCAAGAATTGTGTGGGTGCAATCTAAAGTGCCCCTGTAGATTTAATTCCTTTATTACTCCTAGGAGTCTCAGCGGGGTAGCCATGTTAGTCTGTGTGAAGACTCCTCAGTCAGTGGGGAGGGGGGAGAGGGGGCACTGCTGACCCCCAGAATTTCCACAGATCTGTGAGGCATGCCTCGGCCTAACCGTTGGCCAAGTGACAGCCCTCTACGGCCCAGCCCAGGGTCGGGGTACCAGGCAATGGGGGGGGGAGGGGGGAACACCTATAGTTCAAGAGTCACAGTCTAAGGCACAACCCTGAGTGAGGGCACTTGGCAAGGATCGGGTCTCCTCACTCCCAGAGAACCAACAAGTGCAGGGGGTTTTCCCCCACAGGGGGAACCTGCCACCCAAAGAAAGGGGAAGCAGGCAGGATGCAGGCCCGCCCCCTCCACTG